CGGGCAACGACACGCAGGGCACGGCGACTCACCATGAACTCCTCCAGCAGCCGGTAGGTCCGGCCCCCGTACTCGCACACCTGCCGCACGGCCTCGCAGCGCGGGCAGCAGGTGCGGAAGCTCACGCGCGTGCACCTGGGGTGGATGCGCGGGCAGCGCGGCTTGACACAGACCGGGCCGTCCTCCGTGCAGGTGCAGGGGCACGCCCGGGGGCTGGGGCGGTAGGTCTCGCCCAGGGCGTACACGAAGCCGCGCTCGTCCAGGCACCACTTGCCCCGGTAGTCGCCGAAGTCGTAGTCCGCGTCGCTCTTGGCGGAGGAGGGCTCCCCGGCGGCCCCCCGGGCGCAGGCGAGCAGCGCCAGGGCGGCGCACAGGCAGAGCGCCGGCCGACAGCAACCGAGCTGGAGCATCGCTCAAACGTGCGACTGAGGCCAACTGCTCTCAGGTCCTTTCTCAAGCTCTGCCAGCTGGGGATTAAAAAGCCCTGCGAACTGTGATGGTCACATGGCCGTAGAAAATAATGCCCACACGCTGGGCGCACGCGTTATTTTCCACTGCGCCTGAGACTGGCACCGGCGGCACGTGCAATCGATCCTGTACACGAAGCAGAGCGAGGAATACCGGGGGAGGTTCACACAGAAAAGACTTCCAATTCCCTCTCACAGCTGGCACAACATCTGTTGTTTTTCCTTGCCGGATCGTAGGTTGTCATCCATTCACCATTCTCCGAAACGTCACTGCTGGACCTCTGATGCAAACTGATTTGCTGGCTGACCAGTGAGCGCGTTGACCTGGATTCGGGGGATTAAAAATAGATTTTCCCGCACGGAGCCAAATGTCGTTCTGGGCTCAGGGTGTGGGGCCTGCGACTCGCTTCTCTCTGCCTTCTGTTTCGGCCCGTGTGGCGCCGAGCGAGTGGGCAGCCGTGCCCGGCTGGGGCCGCCACGCCGGGTTATTCCAGTGCAGGGGAAGTCAGAAGGAGAGCAGAGTATGGTTCGGCAGGAAACAGCCGGAATCTGCTCCTGCTCACAACTTTTCTGAAACCGGGAAGTTGGGTGGGCTTTGCGTTTCACAATCAGAGCCGGCACATGGCTTGTCTGCTCAGATCTTTGTCGAGTCAGCTTTCAGGACCGCACGAGGGACGGAAAAAGCGTTGGCGGAGACAGAAGTGGAAAGGTCGTCCTGAGGTCACGGAGGTTTGGGTGCTTATAAGACGGGCGTCTCGGGAGGCAGCCGTCCGCACGGCGCAGGGATGGCGCCTCTGCAGCTGCTCCTCCTGCTCTCGCTGCTCGCTGCGTCCTCGGCCTCCCAGCAGGCCCTGGGCTCCTGCCGCATCGTCTGCGACCCCCCCGCCTCGGGGGCAGCCAGAGGGGAACACGGTGTGGTCGTCCCCCTCTCCGCCGGCGCCCCCGGACCCCCGGGGCCGGCGGGTCCCCCCGGCAAAGCGGGGCCGAGGGGCAGCCCTGGAATACCGGGGCCCCCAGGGGGGCCTGGCACTGCCACACGCCCCAGGATCGCCTTCTACGCGGCCCTCTCTGAGCTGTTCACCCAGCAGGACGTCCTGAGGTTCACCGACGTCATCACCAACCTGGGCGCCGACTACAGCCCCGGCAGTGGCAAGTTCACCTGCAGGGTGCCGGGGGTCTACGTCTTCAGCTACCACATCCTGAAGGACGGGGAGCACATGTGGGCCGACCTCATGCTGAACAACCAGGTAACCAACTCCTTGTGTCTGCTGCTTGTGTACTCCGGGCACAGAGAGGGCAGCACACAGAGAGCAGCAGAGAGCAGCACAGCACAGGCAGCACACTGAGAGCAGCACAGCACAGGCAGCACACAGAGAGCAGCAGAGAGCAGCACAGAGACAACAGCACAGCACAGGCAGCACAGGCAGCACACTGAGAGCAGCACAGTGAGAGCAGCACAGAACAGGCAGCACAGGCAGCACACTGAGAGCAGCAGAGAGCAGCACAGCACAGGCAGCACAGGCAGCACACTGAGAGCAGCACAGGCAGCACAGGCAGCACA